AGGACTCTGAATTTATTTTGCCACTCCGTTCTAGCCTGGACCGTTTCTGTAGAGAAATCAGCTGATAGCCTCATGGGGGTTTCTTCGTAACTGACTCTTTGTTTTTCTCTTGCTGCCTTCAGAATCCTCTCTTTATCTTTTGTCATGATGTGCCCTGGAGTAGGTCTGTTTGGGTTCTTGTTGTTTGGGACCCTCTGTGCTTCTGGTCCTTTTAAAACTGTTTCCCACTTTAGGTTTGGGAAACTTTCAAATGTATTTTTGATTCCCTTCTCTTTCTTCTCTTCGGTTTCCTTTTATGCGTAGATTGGCACACTTCATATTATTCCACTGATCCTGTATGTTGCTTTCAATTTTTTCATTTGTCTGTTCTGATTGGGGGATTTTTGTTATTCTATCTTCCAGATCACTTATTCGTTCTTCTGCATTATTTAATTACCCGTTTACTGTCTTTAGCTCTGTTTTTCATCTTGGTAATTGAGTTGTCTGATTTCGACTGGCTCCTCTTTATACTTTCTAGATCCTTAAGCCAGTGATCTACATCTCTAAAGATAGCCTTTCTTAATTCCTTCAGCATTTTTATTACCTCCTTTTTGAGCATGGGGTAGACTGGAGAGGTCTATTTCATTATTTGTTCTCTCAAGAAATTTCCCTCCTTCTTTTATTTTTTTAAGGATTTAAAAATCTCATTCTTACAAGGCACAGCTGATGAACACAAAGGCTTCTCACAGGGGCACCACTCGGCGGGAAGAGCTGTCCCAGGAGAAGGGTGGTGGGACAAGCAGAACCTGCGCAGCCCAGAGTCCATGGTGGGGTTGGGTCAGGGCCTGAGTGCCTCAGACAGAGGGGCTCCAGTGGCCACAGCACATGTACTCAACGATCCCGTCCACTGCCAGCCTCCTTTGGGGACCTGGCAAGTATGGCTCAACCAAAACTGGTGTCCCATGTTTGACTGCAGCACAGGAAGCAGAGGGTCTCACACCCTGGCCCCTTTGCAGTCTGCGATCAGGCTTTACCTTCACAGCCTGCTTTAACGGAACAGTCACACAGGCTCTACTTAGGGCTTTCTGCTTGTGGAGGAGGTCAAAAACAGAGCGGCTTTCTGGCAGTGGATCCTGAAGGTGAGGGTCCACTTTCCTTTTCCCTCCTCAGGTTCTGTTTCAGCACCTGTCATCTTTCGATCCAATCCATCCAACACTGGCTTCATTAACTAACAGTCACCCAGGAGAGCTTTTCAGCTCTTTCTGACTCTAGGGAGTCTTTCCCATAAGATAATGTACAAAGATCTTAGGGTTTATTTGTTAAGAGTGTAGCAGAAAGACCCCTGTCTTCAGTTACAGGCGTGGGTTCTTGTTCAGCTCTACCAGTCCCTCCGTGACTCAGGGGAGATCACATTCCCTCTCTGGTCCCTGATCTGATCAGAACCACTGTCACCACTGGATGCCCCTTCTCTATCCTCTTGTTCTTTTAACTGGGAGTAGTTCCTCTGGTTTTTCCTTTTACTTAAATTTCTCTGATCCTGTGAATTTAGGAGAAACAGTTATCCAGGCAGGCAGACCCCAGGAGCCAGCTTCCCCCACTGTTGTGTCAGGAGGGGAGGTTCAGAGAGGATGAGAGCCTGCAGGGAACACTGTCTCCACTGAGACCAAGAGCGTGAGACTGAAGCCCCTCAACCCAGGGGAAACACACACAGCAGAGCACTCCCAGGACGTCCTGATGCTGGTCGAGTGGGAACCAAGAACAACAGGTCAGTTCTTACACAGCTCCTGCCAGTAAAGGGTTCTGAAGCAAGTGGACATTCCTGTTCTTCCATCCCAGACAAACACAACAGCAGCAGCAAGATTTAAAGAGCTGGGGAGCCATGTCATGTGGCACCTGTATTTGTGATAACCACATTTTCTGTTAAACTGCTGTTTTGGGACTTCCTTTTTTTTTAAGAGAAATTGAACAGGGCATGCTTTATGACTAGAGACTGTTCTGAGGTTACGATCCCTTTCCTCTTCTCACAAATCAAAGTTCTAGGAGTGGCTGGAGGCTGGAGCCAGCACAGGGAGGCCTGGCCCCAGCCAGGTTGGGAAGGAGCACCCACAGGAGAATCAGGCCCAGCCCTGCTCACACGGAGCGATGCAGAGACCCCTCTGAGTCCTCCACCAGTGTGACTTCAACAGATCAGGCAGCAGAGTAACTCCTCTGTGTGCATGGGAGTCGAGCTTTCCTTTCTTGTATTTTTCATTTACTTCTCTGCAAAGTTAACTTGATAAGTCTAATAAATATGTGCCAAATTCTTTGCTGCTGGGTCTGCAACCAATGTAATGAGATTTAATTTTAGAGCTTTTCTCAATTCATTTGCTCCTTAATCTAATTCTACAATTTTATAATGAAGGGAGATAGACAGTTATTTGGAAATGGTCTGCATGAGAGGCAAGGATGGCAAGTGAGATAAATACTCAATGTTCTGATGTCAAGGACTAGTTTTTCCACAGGCACCTTCCTAACTCCCCCATCTCTGTCTCACTTTTACCGGATTTTTGCTTTGTTCTTCAAAACGGATGTCTGTTGTCAAAAGAACACACAATACAACAATGGAACAGAATTTAAAGTCTGGAGACAGACCCACACAGTATAGTCAACAGACCTTAGACAAGGGTGAAAAAGCAGCGAATAGGGGAAGCAGGGGGGGCCAGTCCCACTGGACACACCCACAGGCCACAAATTGGACCTCAGCACAAACGACATGGTGTGTACCAAAGTCAATTCAGAGTGGCTTTATGTATCAAACCATACCACTTCTAGGAAAAAACATTGGAAAAAATCTTGTGACCTTGAGTTCAGCAAAGACTTCTTGGACATACTAAAAGCATGATCCAAACATGAAAAAAACAACAAACTGGACTACACCACAGCTGAAAACATTTACCCTGTGAAGGTCACTGATAAAGCCACTAAGAAGATGAACCACAGACTGGGAGGAAATGTCTGTAAGTCACCTGCCTGACACAAGGCTTGTGTCTGGAACAAATGAAGGACATTCAGAACTCAGTGGGCACAAGACCTGAAGTGGCACTCCACAAGAGACAACCAGTGAGTCTTAGGAAGGTGTTCAATACCAGCCCTCAGGGAAATGAAGTGAAAACCACAGAGAGACACCCCTTCACCAGCAGAGTGGCTCAGATCAGACAGTCTGAGCACACCCAGCATGGGGCGTGTCGGGGCACCTGGAAGCCTCCCTGGAAAGCAAGCTGGCAGCCCCCTGTTAAGGTCTACACACGCCCACCACTCCTTCCCTGAGAATCTATGACAAATGCTGGAGTCACATGAGCACATGATATTATACCAAAAGTCATACCCATCCTGAACAGAATTATGAATCTTCCCAATGATGAACTTAAAAATATAAGGAACACTAAAGGAATAGAACTCTTAAATCACATAGAATTCAAATTAATTTTAGGGTAGTCCTTCACTCTCTGTAAACTGCCTATGTCCCTTACTGGGGCCTTGGGGAAGGATGAACAGACCACGGATCCACAAAGCCACAGGGATGACTCTCCAGGGAAGGCTCATGCACATATCACCACTCAAACCTTTATATCCTGGAGGCCACACAGGGCAGGAAGCAGGCAGGGCAGCCTGACACTGATGGTGCACAGGTGGACGGGGGTGATAAACAACCCTGGGGCGGGGGCCACTGGCCTCCACCATACCCTACACCTCTGGGAGGCTTGGTGTGCCCAGTGATGCCAGCTGGCCAAGCCACCTGCTCCCCCGGCCACCGGGACGAGCCTCTGCTCTTTCATACGTGGTGGTGCAAACAACCTGGCCACACTCAGGCCTGCTCAGACGGGTGACAGTCCAGACACAGAGCCCGGGAACCCGCCACCAGCCTCTGTGAGCACAGACACTGGGCCAGAGCTACGGCACACAAGCGCACAGCCAGCCTGCCTGGCAGACCCTCAGCCTGAGGCCCACCCGCCATCCAGCACCAGGCCAAGGGTGGAAAGCAGCGAAAGAGACACGTGCACCCCAATGTTCATCGCAGCACTGTTTATAACAGCCAGCACATGGAAGCAACCTAGATGCCCATCAGCAGAGGAGTGGATAAGGAAGCTGTGGTACATGTACACAATGGAATATTACTTAGCCATTAAAAAGAATACATTTGAATCAGTTCTAATGAGATGGATGAAACTGGAGCCCATTATACAGAGTGAAGTAAGCCAGAAAGATAAACACCAATACAGCATACTAAGGCATATATATGGAATTTACAAAGATGGTAACGATAACCCTATATGCAAGACAGAAAAAGAGACACAGATGTATAGAACAGACTTTTGGACTCTGTGGGAGAAGATCTGAGAGAACAGCATCGAAACATGTATATTATCAAGTGTGAAACAGATCGCCAGTCCAGGTTGGATGCATGAGACAAGTCCTCAGGGCTGGTGCACTGGGATGACCCAGAGGGATGGGATGGGGAGGGAGGTGGGAGGGGGGTTCAGGATGGGGAACACATGTAAACCCATGGCTGATTCATGTCAATGTATGGCAAAAACCATTACAATACTGTAAAGTAATTAGCCTCCAACTAATAAAAATAAATGAAAAAAAAAAAAAAGGAAGGAAAGCAGCTGGGTGCCAACATGGCTGCCAGAAAAATGCACAGGACAGAGAGCCTTCCAGAAGCAAGAGGAGCTCCCACACTACAAAGCACGAGACTGAGGAAAAGAGTGAGAGTGAGGGCCGAGTAGAGACCTGCAAAGAACAGGGATGGACTCCAGGTCAGGAAGAAGCTGGGGCAGGTCAATCCACTCCCCTGGGCTGGCCACCTCCTAACGGGCAGATGCTTAGCTGCAAGGGGATAAGGGTTAACTCTGACGAGTTCAAGTTTTAACGGTTCTCACTGAGAAAAGGGGAGAAAACTGCATGTATTTCAAGGTCTACGATTGACAGAAAAGTGCAAACTCACGGGAGCCAGCCCGCCACCCACGCCATCTACTCACCCAGCCTGAATGAGCTCATTCAGCTTCGTGGCATTCTTGTCGTCCATGCCTTCGGTGCAAAAACAAACACACGTGAGCATCAAAGTGCCAGGAGCAGAGCCCAGCAAGACTCCATGTGCTTATCTTCAGCGCAGAATCCAAACCACTTAATGGAGCATCAGGGCCTCCCAGAGTAACATCCATGTCAGCTGCAGCCCCCAGAACCCACATGTCCCCTGCAATAAGAGCACTGTCCCCTCTCCAGCAACCACTCGCCCCAACGGCCCCATAAGACACTACCCTTTCCTGAGGCCCACCGTACACCGCTAGGCTTGTCCTGCGGGGTTCCTGGGCTACTTGTGGGCTTGCCTCCAACAGCTCTGCCAAAGCATGGGCTGAGGCCCTGTGTGTTTCCTAGAGTGGACCCCCACTCCCCCCCACCCAAGGGTGACAGAAGTCGACAAAAGGACAAGGCTAGGGGAGCCTTCTGTGGGGAGGGGTCCAGCTGGATGACACGTATGGGAAGACCAAAGACAGGGCCCCAGAACTGGGCCAGCACTTCAGGACAGGACAGGGATTCAGGAACTCAGCAGAGCACTCAGAGCAGGAGCCAGGGGTCTGTTTAGGAGTCCTCAGCCTGCAGGAGGAGGGGCAGGGAGGCAGGACGCCTGACCCTTCCTTCAGAGGTTCCTGAAGTCCTGCCTCTTTCAGGGAGGGCAGGTCACCCAGGGAATGCCCGCCCCACCAGCCTGCCCCACTGTGTCGCACTCGGTGGCAGCTTATCCTCATCTCACAAGGTGGCCCTGCAGGGGTGTGCCTTTCCAAGCCATGTTGACAGGCTGCAGCCTCGAGTGTATAGTCACACGGCGAGGCCAAAACACCTGTACAGCTACAGGGAAACTAGTTATGAGGAGACGCTCAGACCAAGGCAAAGGGAGGGTCCCAGACCCCTCAGAGCACCAGCATTGGGAAAGACCAGGAAGTGGGGGCTGTTCTAAGTCGAGACCCAGGACAGACGGCAGCTGTGAACGGGCATGCTGTGGACAGGCATGCGCCGCCTGGCACGGTGGATGTCCTGAGAGGCCTGAGTTGGGCAGGAGACCAGTGAGGCTGTGGTGCCCACTGGAAACATTTTACACATGCTGGGCATGCAGGGGAACATCCTTTTCTCAGGGGCCAGCGGCTGAGGGGTTCACAGTGTGCTTGGGCATTTGCAACTTACAGTCCCATGGCTGAGCAAGAAGAAAGGCAGTGTGTAGAGGGGCTTGGGGCAGGAGAGATAACACAGATATGGCCAAAGTTCAGGCCAGTAAAATCTAAACGACAGTGAGTGAGGTCAATACATCCTCCTTCAATACTTCTACATGTTAAAACATCCTGGACATTAAAATGTTTTCAGGCTGAAAGCTGCAGAGAAAACAAAGAGCCCCAGGACTAAAGCTGCAGCTGCACCGGGAGGAGCCCCCAGGGAAGGTACTCACAGCCCCCGATCTTCTTGCGCAGCTCCCCGTAGCAGATGAGGCCATACAGCTCTTGGGATGACTTTTTGAGCCCACGGGAGAACACTGAAAACAAGGGAAGGTGCAGCTTCAGAAGGAGAGCACGGACGTGCGGGGCTTGAGGTCACGCCAGGGCACTGGCGGCACTTCTTGGTTTTGACCCCTGCACCCTGGACCACAGAGCAGAGTACACAGCAATATGGTGCTGTTTTTGCACTTTTCAAAAGAAAAAGAGGGAGGAGGGAACCCTGACAGGCAGAGCAACATCCCTAGAGAGAAAATGGAATGCCCAACACGGCGGGCTTCCACCAGGCGCAGAAGTGTGGAGTCACCTCTCTGTGTACAGAGCGCGGCACAGGCTCGGGGAGGGAGGAGGGTGGTGGGAGCTGGGCAGCACGGACAGATCTGAGAAGCTCAGAACAGAACCAGCAAGACTGACAGGCAGATAGGAGACATCCACAAAGATTCAAAGGGAACAAGGACACTGTCACGGGAAGTGCAGTGACCATCACAACCGTGACTGTCTGGAGCTTGGTCCACAGTCCTGAGAGCCCTGTTGCTAGCCATGGCATCGAGAAAGGACTTCTCCAGGGCAGAGGACAGCTAACCATGGCCTGCGAGCCAGACCCAGCCAGGGCTCTCTGTAAACACACACATGAAGCAGCAGCAGCACACAGTCCTCCACACCCAGTCCACGCGAGTGAGGAAGCAGGGTGAAGCAGTTTCAGGGAAGACAGTAACCCTCCAAAGCCAGACTTGTTATAGAAGGACAGTTCAGACCATCCCTGGGCCTTTCCAGGCTGGAGGAAGCCCTGGCCCTGGCACCCTGACCACAGGGAGAGGCAGCGGGGAAGCCGGAGGGGTCATCGGGGAGGCAAGAACTCGTTGCCCGGCCAAAGACCACCTGTAAGGCACAGGCAGAGTTCACAGGAGTGGCGTGAGCATGGCCACCACCGTCATCCTGCATCAGCACTGCTGCTAATGGGGAGTGTCAGAAACCGGGCAGTCACAGCAGGGCCTGAGCCATGAGAGGCGGCAGGGGTGACACGAACACGGCTCTCCCAGCGTGTGGACAGAGGAGGCGGCAATGCCTCCCCCGAGGGCAGAGACCTGACGGAAGGGGTGGTCTGAGCAGGAAGTCAGGACTGCACCTGGCAGTGACCTAGACATTGTGACTTAAAGATAGTACCATGCAAACCAGACTCAAACACAGGCGACAAGGGCCTGGGAAAGCCCTGGATGGCCAGCCCTCCACCCCCAGCCTTCCATGCCAGGCCTGGCCCACTCCTAACCCACCAGGACCCCCTTGGGAGAAGGGCGGGTAATGAAGAGGTAGGATCTAGGACCACGGTACCCTCCCTCCCAGCAAGCGAGCCAGGTACCCAGACGCCAGAGGCGTCCTCGAAGTTCAACCTAACCACCAGCTACAAGGCCTCCTGCCAGCCAGCATGCTGAGCTGAAGACACCCCGGGCCGTTTGCTGCATGAGAACGAGGCCAGAGAGAGGCCGGCAGGTGTGCCAAAGCCTCGCTCCAGACTGGGAGCGGGCAGACGGTGCTCACCGTTGTCGAAGTCGATGTACTTGGTGATCTTGTGCCACGTGCGGTAGTAGAAGTGGCGCACCTGCTCCTTGTTCTTCACCATGCTGGCTGGCTTGCCCTTCTTCCTATACTTCAGAGCGATGTTGTTCTGGATTGCCTCAAAGTCCTTCCCATGCTGCAAAACAAAGCCCACGTTACCAGCACAAGGTGATCACAAGGCAGCCTTCGTAGAAGGCAACTGCTTCCCGAAAAGGGAGAAGTGGCCTTCACAGCTCTTACTGTGTGTGAACTTCAACCCAGCTTCCGCAGAGCCGCAGGTCTCCATCAGAACCATGGAGAAGACAGCAACAGAACTACCTGAACACGTGGGCACCAACAGGCAAGGAGCCCGGAGCAGGAGAAATGTAAAGCTTATCACTTGGACAAACGGCTTAACCTCTAGACTTCTTTAGAGCCCATGAAATGAGACACCCCCATAAACAATAATCAGAAGATATGACAGGATGGAGGAGCTCAGGGTGCTGTGTATCTGGTATCTTAAACAACACATCTATTATTCAGAAATAGTCTAACTAATTCACTCATACAAAAGGTATTAAACAGGATCACACTGAATGTGCTCTGAATACAGCTGTGGCCTTCCTTCAGCAACTCCACACAGAAGCCAAGTACAGCTTAGATTTTTAGGACAGAATTTACATTCCAGAGGACACAGCGTCGATGCTGTCCGGGTATTGCCCATGACTGAAACTCTCATAAACACAAAGCCAGCAAGAGCATGGGAAGGCACCTGGAGGTAACGGCACGCCGGCAGCAATGAGCACTGTGGGAGCCCAGGGCTTGGCTTCTAAATCCCACTTTCCAAAAGGAACAGGGTTCCTTGGGAAAATGGGCAATGCCAAGTCTGGGGGAAGGAAGACATCAGGAATGTCTAGAGCATCCTGTGGTGCCAGAGAGAGAGGAAGTACTCAAGGTTGAACGGAAATATGTTAGAAGGACACAAGAGCCAACATAAATGGAGAAGAGCTCCTGGCGTGGAGTTCCCAATTAATAAATGTACATAGAATAAGGGAGCCAGAAAGTTGTCACTGGGCACACACCACAGTAATAGCTGATCCAGTAAGAAGCAGTACTGGTTGCTTAAATTAGAAGAAAGAAAAATGATGCAAAACAGGGTATTCACACAGTCTCAAAGTTAAAAAAAAAAGAGGAAGACTTGGCAGTGGAGAACCTGAGAGATGCCACCTGAATGCAAAGACCAAGGTTCACACAGCAGGCCCGAGAGCACAGCACAGGCTCCCACAAGGACACAAGGATGCACAGCACTCCTGCGGCACTCTCAACACAAAGCTTAAGCTTAACCACAAGGAAATGTCACGTGAGCCCAATGAAGGGTGATCCACGAGTGAACAGACTGGACACTTCAGAAGAGACCAGGGAAAAAAGGGAAGACTGAGGGACCTGTCCCAACTGGGAGGAGCCAACTACAATGTGGGTCAATGTGACCCAGAGGAGGACCCCAGAGGAAACACTGATGACATGAGGTTGATCCTCCTCACTGTGTTGGTCACCCTGCAGTCATGAGGGTATCAGGGAAGCAAGAAAAGGGCATGTGAACATTCCCTGTATTCTTGTGGTTTCTCCAATTCTGAAATCATTTCAAAATTTAAGAACAAGAAGTAAAAATCCTAAAGAATGAACACTCATTCTCTGTTTTAAAAGAAGCAATGGCAGGTGAGCCAGAACAAGACAGAGTTGCACGTGAAGTGCCTCCTCCAGCGTCTAGCTCAGGTACTTCCTCTCCCACAAAACTGCCACCAGCTGCAAGGGGAAGGCCCAGAGGGATGGGCACCACTCTGAGCCACTGGAGAGAATCTTAGAAGAGAAAAGCAAAGACACTTCCTAACAGCCACAACTAGAAACAGCTTTGAGGGTCACACCAAGGAGATGAAGGGCCAAGGTCAGAGGGCAAGGCCTGGGGCCACCGAGCGGGGTATGGGGGGGAGCCCCACCAGCCCTGCAGGCTCCAGGAAGCTTACCTCGTACAGCCCCTCAAAGAAGGTGTTTTTGTCCTCTGTGCTCCAGGACTCCCACTGCCGCCGAACCTTCTTGCCTTCCTCCTTCTCTCCACTCGAAGACCCCAGGTTCCTGGAGGAGGAGCGAGAGCCCCCTGCAGGGGCAGCGGGGGCAACCCCAGGCCCATTTGCAGCCGACGATCCGCCACCATCAGTTCCTTGGAGAGAAAGAACCTTACAGTTACCAACAGAAGCTGCCCCAGGCCCTGCCCCCAGCAAGTGAGTGATATGGCCCTGCTCTGACCTCTGACCCTCGTGAACATTTAAACAGTGAGAAAAAGGAGATAGAGCGTTTATGTTCAAGGACATAAGGCCCTGCTGAGGACAAGGCCTTGCTGAGGCACTCAGCACCTGTCTTTCTCAAATGAGGTTTTGGGTAAAGTAATCATATTTTCAAATAAACAAATTGAAGTTCAAAATCAAGAAAACATCTACATGTGTGTAAGACACTACCTTCTTAGAGCTACAACTGGAACCTCAAAATATGGACCACATGACCCCATAGCACCTTTTAAAAGTCTCAAAATGCCTGTTTTTCTTGATCACTTTTCATAACAAAGTCTGGTGTTCTGAGAGTGAGTGACAACCCACACACGCTCTTGAAGCACCAGCTCCAAACCAAATCTCAAGACGAGTCCTTGAAGACCCTGCTGGAGGTAGCAGCACATACAGTCCAGCATGGGAGGCCAAGCCAGGCCAAGCCAGGCCCAGGACCAGAACTCTGGGCTCCCAGGAAGACACAGGCAGTAAAGCCAAGGCAAAGGTCACGGATAACAGACTTTGTAACCTGACCCAGCCCTCCCACCCACTCCAATTCCTTCCTCTCAGATGGAAGGGGAACTCCCGGCGTATTTTTGTGATAACCAGCATTCTCTTTTCTTGGAACTACAGGGCCATCCAATGGTTGGAATCTGCAAACTCTGAAGACAAGGTTGAAAATAAGATCATAAAAACAAAAGTGCTTCAAATAGGAAAAGCTAAACAAGTGCAGAGAACTGTTAAAATGCTTTCTTGATGAGATAATCATGGGCTTTTCTGTCAGATCCACTTCCCGGTCAGTTTGCTGGGGGCCCTCCCTGGGCAGACATGTGCTCACTGGGAACTCGGGACCATGTTTCCCTCACACCCTCGAGAGGGTTCTGCCTCCAAAGGGAATAAAAGACAATCGTGAGAAATAAAAGAAGTGACAAATTAAAAGTGATTCCATGCATGCTTGCAAAGACCAGCCCTGCAGAATCCAAGTGCAGGGGTTGTCTGGGGCCCTGAGCAGGGCAGAGTCACTTTCCCCTCTGATGCCTCACTGTGCCTTTCAAAGTGTGGATCCTCGTAATCACATCAACACATGTGTGCGCTCAATCGTTCAGTCGTGCCTGACTCTTTTCAATCCCATGGACTATAACCCATCAGGTTCCTCTGTCCATGGAATTTTCCAAGCAAGAATACTGGAGTGGGTTGCCATTTCCAGAGGACCTTCCTGACCCAAGGATCGAACCTGCATATCTTGCATCGGCAGGCAGATTCTTTACCACTGAGCCACCTGGGAAGGCCTAACGTCAACATAAGCAGTATCTAAAAAAAGCTGATCCTATCAGTCAACTACTGGGCATGAGAATGTGTTCATATGTGTAGAAAAACCACTCAGGTACAAGGAATGCGCTTGATTCTTCTGTGGTGAAAGGTGTTATCAGGCCAGCAGGCCACCTTCAGAAAGCGACATGCTCAGGCAACAGAATTCACAATTTATCAGAGCTGTACAGCCCAATTAAGACAATCACTAACGAGGCTATTCAAATTTAATTAAAATTAAATACAAGATCTCAAAGAGACACGTGCACCCCAATGTTCATCGCAGCACTGTTTATAATAGCCAGGACATGGAAGCAATCTAGATGCCCATCAGCAGACCAATGGATGAGGAAGCTGTGGTACATATACACCATGGAATATTACTCAGCCATTAAAAAGAATTCATTTGAATCAGTTCTAATGAGATGGATGAAACTGGAGCCCATTATACAGAGCGAAGTAAGGCAGAAAGATAAAGACCATTACAGTGTACTAACACATATATATGGAATTTAGAAAGATGGTAACGATAACCCTATATGCAAAACAGAAAAAGAGACTCCAATGTATAGAACAGACTTGTGGACTCTGGGAGAAGGCGAGGGTGGGATGTTTCAAGAGAACAGCATCGAAACACATATATTATCTAGGGTGAAACAGATCACCAGCCCAGGTTGGGTGCATGAGACAAGTGCTCGGGCCTGGTGCACTGGGAAGACCCAGAGGGATCGGGTGGAGAGGGAGGTGGGAGGGGGGACCGGGATGGGGAATACATGTAAATCCATGGCTAATTCATTTCAATGTATGACAAAAACCACTGCAATGATGTAAAGTAATTAGCCTCCAACTAATAAAAATAAATGAAAAAAAGAAAAAATAAAAAAATAAAAAAACGTTAATATCAAAAAAAAAAAAAAAAAATTAAATACAACCCCAGTTCCTTAGTCACACCAGCCGTGACTCTAGTGGTCAGGGTCCACAGGGCGCCAGGGGTTCCCATGCCAGCCAGCGTGGGAGGGGCCTCTCTGTCACTGCACCTGTATGTTCACCCCTCGCACCCTAAACACAGTTAGGGAAGACAAGCTGGTCCCAAGCTGTTCCCCTCCGCTCCGAGGTTCAGCATACCCGTACCTCAGGATCCCCGGGCGCAGAGTGCGGGAAGGATGCCCTCACCACGGGAACTGACTTTGTCAGTTCCTCACCAAACCCAACCCAACCCAGCCTAACTCACACCCGGCGATGTTTCAACAGGCGAGGCGACGCAGCAGTGTGCAAGGATCGCTGGTTTCGTTCACTGCGCGCAGGTCAGAGACGCTTCCCCATGAGCTCAAGATCAGGTCACGGGTGCCACGTAAACCCCCACTCTCAAATAAAAGAAATTCTGGTTGACTTGGAGCCCATAATTCCTCATGAGTACTCCTCTGAGGAAGGGCTGTCTGTCCACCTCTGCACCACCCACAACAAAGGATTTCAGAATCATTTTCACCTCTGACAACACATTCATTAAACCCTCCTTTTCCAAGACAAAGGCAACTTGCTAACAGTCACAGCTCAGGTTTAGCTTTGCCAGCCCACACTGGTGTCAACGCACTTGAAATAACACACATTTTTGAAAATTCTGTTAACACAGGCCTCTTGCAGGCTTTTGTGAGATTTTGCTGGTGACCCACGACAAGGAGGATGAACAATGATGGAAAACTGAATGGAAGCATCTCTGAGCCTGGAGGGACCTCAGGGGTTGCGCACAGAATACACCAAACCAGCGGACGGGAAGGAAGGGACAACAGAAAAGCGGCTCTGAGGTGGGCCTTGAGGCCACCAACCACACCCTCTTCAAGGCCAGAGGTCACAGCAGCAATGCTCAGTCTCTCCTGTTCAGGTTTCAAAAACAATTCGTCCTCAGTAGAGGAAAATAAAGCCAAGGACCCTCAGGCGACCATTTCCACATCTGCTGCCCATCATTCTAGACCTAGAATGCATCTCAGAAACAGAGCAAAATCACAAAACTTCATTGGGGGAGAGAACACAGCACCTGGTACATCCCTGAAAATTCAGATGAGGAGGAGGAAGGGCGTCCCACCTGAGCTCTGGTTCCTTCGAGCGCTGCGACTCAAGCAGGAAAAGACAGAGGCAGGATCAGAAACACCGGGAGAACGAGATGGTTACTGGAAAAAGTCCAGACAAAACAGTGATGACTGAAGGGGGAAGACAGAGAAGCCAGCGAGAACGGAGGTGAAGAAGGCAAGGGGTGGGGGGGTGTCGAGAAGACAATTCTGAACAAGTCTCAGTGAGCGTGGGGCTCTCCCCATATGCACATACCCCAAGTCAACGTGACACCTGCAACCTTGCTTCTGAGGCCACAAAGAGGTTAGTCAGAACCTGCACGTGAGAAGTCAGCATCGGGGAGGCAGGCGGGAAAGGATGCACAAGACCGGAGCCCGGCAACCTCAGAGCAGGAACAGCTGCGTCAGGCCTCACAGCGTGCACTCAGTGAGCTCGGGAGCCGGCGCCATCCCTCCCAACCACGTGCGGCCAGTCCTCTGGGGGCCCGGAGCCACCTCGGAGCAGGCCCCTCAGCGCTCTCTTTGGTCTCCCAGACCACCACTTGGGCCGCACCCTCTCCAGGGCTCACGTCTGAGGAACACAGACGTGCGGCCTCTGTCCGCATCCCCCGCTGCCCGGACGTCCGCTCCAGACGAGCTAGACAGCCCGCCCTCTCTGCCCATGCCCCTCAGCACCGGGTAGCAGAGAACAAGCCATCTTTCCGCCGGGGAAGCCCAGGTGCCCAGCCCTGAGGAGCGTGTCTGGACGCCCTGCTCCCTTCTGTCCCCGTGTGCAGTCACCAGGAGGAAAGAGGCTCTGAAAGTGGGAAAGCCGCACAGTCCGGGCGGCAGGGGCCCAGCCAGTTCCCCGCCTCACTCCAAACCTGGAGTCGTCCTCCGGGGACATGGGGCTCCCCCAGGGCATGTGACGTCACGGCGGCTGGCACCCGGACCATGGCTGCCTCAGCATTTACAACACACGGAGCCACAAGAAGACGATGGAGAGACCTTGGTCTCAGCGCCCCCCGTCTGTGACGGAGGCGGCCCAGCGCCGCAGTCAAGGGGCGGCAGTCTCAGGACTCGGGGGGACGCCGGCCTCCAGCACGGCCCTGTAACTTCCCGGGGGACGCCAAGGATGTGGTAACACCCTGTCACAGCGCACTCCCTGTCCTCAGCCTTCCCCTGGAGCCTACAAACTTCCTGAGCATAACATCAAAGTCCCAGGGGGACGGGAAGACCCGCTGGACTTGAGGGTTTCAGAAACGTCCACCCAAGCCCGCCTGCGCTGGGCAAGAGGCGCGCTCCCGAGTCTCGCCACCTGCCCGCCCCCAGCCCCACTCAGGTGCCGCCCGGCACGTGGAGGCTCACTGCCAGGAGGGTGGCATGCCCGACAGGGGGCCCGGCAGACGCCCCAGGCTGTGGTCGGTCCAGATCTCAGAGGCGCTTCTGTGCCGCTGCTGAAGAACAGATGGGGCTGAGGGACGCCTTCTCCACCAAGGCACGCAGGGGACGGGTTCCCAGGAAGGGTGCCGCCCCATGGACAAGCACCC